GCGGGGGGGGGGGCGGCGGGGATCCCCTACCCGCCCACAGCCTTTCTTGTGCTGCAGGCTTTGGGGAGCAGAATCTGAAACTTGCAAACTTGTTTTACCCTGATGAAAAGTAAAAAGTGCATTTTCTCTTGAGGCCCCGTATACACACACGTACAGCACACCACATAGATATGCATATCATACATATAAAACAATACTTTAGTGAATAAAATGTGCTCTGATAGCGTCTTTGCAAACCTTTTGATTATTTTTATTGCTAGCCTCGATTCATTAAATTATTTTACCACTATTAATGAACGATCAGTCTATAACCCGTTTGATTTAATAGTAGAGAAAATAACATTCTGCATCTCCACAAAAGCTTGTTAGTTTTCCAGCGGTCATTTCCCAACTCACCGCAAGTTTGCAGGAATTTGTGTTTGCGTGAGAAGTGAAGAAAATTAACGTGTTGGTTTTTTTTGTTGTTGTTTTTTGCCCAGGTATCTGATAATCCTTTTAGTGCTGATTTAAGTTCATTAGTTGATATACTTGAATTCACTCCCTGATGATATTCCAGGGAAATTGTGTGCGTGTTGTTGAATCCTAAACTTGAACAGTTTTTGAAACTTTCCCCAAGCCATCAATCAACAGAATATTACTATCAATATTACCTGATACTTAGTATTATTGCATGATTTTAAAACCATTGCCTGGACAGATGTTTGGTTACTAATTATGACATTTGTTCATTATCCCTGGGAGTTCGTGTGGTCACATAGAGAGTTGGTGTTAAGCTTGTCTGGTACTAGAGTGCTTTTCATCACCATTGTTGTATGGCCTTTCTCCTGGACTGACCCATGATGATTACAGTTACATAATCTGGATATGCCCATCGGACTTGAGAATATTACTAAAGTAATCTTTATGGTTACCTAAACTTACGGAACAGGCAGTATTGGAGAGTAACATGTAAGAGAGTGCTCTTGAGATCAGAGGGAAAGGAAGGACGCAGGATTGTGCAGAGCAAAGTTGGGTCTTGTTGCTGTAGATATGGAGGCCTGGGTTGACCGTGTGGGTAGTTCTCACACTAGTATGATACCTGGGAACTGATTCCAGTGGGGAAGGCGCCAGGCCTTGGTGCCCGCATGTTGGATGGCCGTTAGTTATGGGCTGCTCCCCGAATGGGGCATGGTCTTGGGCAAGGAAACTCTATAGCAGAGGCAGTATTCTGTTCTAAAAGGAAATGTGGGTGGTGCATCACAACATACTAGAAACTTCCAACGATGGCTGGGTCCTTCTCATTATTTAGGTCTCATACTTCCCAGAGAAACCTTCCCTGTCCACTCTATCTGGAGGAGGTCTCCCTTGTTATTCTGTGTCTCAGGGTTTTTTCAAAGCACATACCACAATGTGTAATTATTCATATTTTATTTTCCAGTATACTTTAGCCTCCCCCACCAGATTAAACTTGAAAGGCACCAGGGATTCTGTTTTATCTCCAGATTGTATCTCCAGATCTTTCATAGTCCCTGGCACACAGTAAATACTCAGTAAATACTGGTTCAATCAGTCCATCATCCTCCAAAAGAGCTTTTTCAGAAAGTCCTTTAATTTATTTACTATATTCTAATGAATCTAAGTGGACCACTGCATTAAATTCTCTGGGTTTTGAGCCAGATACTGATAGCCCTTCTATACTTGTTTTTAGCTGTTGAGGATTTTAGGGTCATATTGAAGTCCTTTGATGTTTATACGTTTTAAGGTTAAAATTAAAGGAAACAATTTTCTTTTTTCGTGATGCGATCATTGTTAATTACATTTCTTCATTCCAGGATGGAAGGCTAACATTTTATCCAGGAAGTCAGGTAGTGAAACTTCCTTTTATCAACTTCATGAAAGCACATGGCACTTCCTTTCTGAATGCCTACACAAATTCTCCAATCTGCTGCCCATCACGTGCAGGTATGAACATGCTTAATATTAATGGAAGAAAGTGGCCACACACTGAAAATAATTTTACAATTTAAAATTATTCCCAAAAGTAGTATAGCAAGTAATATTTGGCATTTAATAAAAACATTTTAAGTGTTTTGGGTTTTAAGGTATGTATTGGGTATTGGGGTTAGATTTTCTAATTTATTTTTCCAGAATAGGAATTTTTATCATTTAAAAGGGTGTTTAGTTCATGTGTTACTATTTCATTTCCTAATGATTGAGTGTCTAAGAATCTTTTGACCAAGCAAATGAGGAAATATTTATATTTCTTGGAAGAGTTATATTTCCAAGGAAGTTTTTCAGTAAGAGTACAAGGAGTTGGGTGGGGACTTCAGAATGTACCATAAAGTAGTTAGAACTTGTCATAAATCAGGTTTATCTGAAGTTTTCCATGTTATTTCAGATTACATCTCTTCAGGCTCAATTCACTTCTATCCCAATCTAATAATTTTATTATAGTAATTTAACAAATAGGTATGATTTTAATGGCAAAACTTGTTTCCGTGACATTAAGCCATGAATAACTGAGAAATGGGGAAAAAACTGCCATTCTTATACTATATCTTCTGTCTCTTCTCTGACGGTTGTTTTCCTCATTCTAATCTAATACATGATTGGTTGCTTTGGAACTCATAAATAGCATTCAACAATTTGTTTTTGTCTGTAAGTTCCCAGCATGATATTCTCTGCGATTTGAGTCACAAGTTTCTTTGCCTGCATTTTCAGTACTATCAACTATATAATCACCAATGATTAAAGGAATCCTGAACTATATTATAAATTACATTTCAATGATGAAGGGCCAGATATATTAAAAAACAGTGTTGTTACTTTTTTACATTTCCAGAACATATTTAACTAAAAATTCACATGTTTTCACTCCTCTCGCCTGCACCCCACCTCCCCCACCATCCTCAACCCCCACTTCTGGCAACCATAGGCAGTTGAATTTGATTCTTTTTAGATTCCACATATATGTGAGATGGTACAGTATTCAGTACTTTACCTAACTTACTTCATTTACTATAATGCCCTCAAGGTGCATCCATTGTCGCAAAAGGCAGGATTTCCTGATCTTTTATAGCTGAATATTAGATAGATGATAGATAGATAGATAGATAGATAGATAGATAGATATCACATCACATTGATTTTATTCATCTCTTGATGGACACTTAGGTTGTTTCTGTCTTGGCTATTGTAAATAATGCAGTGAACGTGGGGGTGCAGGTATTTCTTTGAGCTAGTGACTTAATTTGCTCCAGATGTTTACCCAGAAGTGGAGTTGTTGGATTGATTATATGATTTTTTTGGTGTAATTTTTTTAGGAACCTCCATAGTAACTTCCTCAATTTTCCATAGGGGTTTCACCAATTTAGATTCCCATCACCATGCATGAGGGTTTTGCTGGGTATTCTTTTCTCCATATCCTAGCCAATACTTGTTATCTCTTGTCTTTTGATAGTAACCATTCTAACAGGCACAAGGTAATATCTCATTGCAGTTTTGATTTGCATTTCCATCATGATTAGTAATATTGAAAATGTTTTCATGTACCTGTTGGCCATTTCTAAGTTTTCAATGGGAAAATGTTTATTCAGATCCTCTGCCTATTTTGTAATCAGTGTGTTTTTTTTGTTTGTTTCTTGTTTTTTGCTATTGAGTTGTTTGAGTTCTTTATATTTTTTGAATATTGACCCCTATTCAACAGATGATTTAAAAATTATTTTTCCCAATCATGGGTTGCCTTTTCATTTTATTGATAGTTTTATTTGCTGAACAGAAGCTTTTACTTTTATATAGTCCCATTTATTTATTTCAGCTTTTCTTGCCTTTGCTTTTGGTGTCAAATCCAAAAACTTATTGTCAAGATCAGTGTCAAGGACCTTACCTACTATGTTTTCTAGAAATTTCATGGTTTCAGGTTTTATGTACATGTGTTTAATCCATTTTGAGTTGATTTTTGTGTATGGTGTAAGATAAAGGTTCACTTTCCCCAACACCATTTATTGAAAAGACTAGCCTTTCCCCATTGTATATTTTTGGCTCCTTTGTCATAAATTAATTGACAAAATATGCATGGGTTTATTTTTGGGCTCTCTATTCTGTTTCATTGATCTATGTGTCTGTTCTATAACAATAACATACTAGTTTGATGATTATAGATTTGTAATATAGTTTGAAATCAGGAAGTGTAATGCCTCTAACTTTGTTCTTCTTTCTCAAGATTGCTGTGGCTATTCGGGGTCTTATATGGTTGCATACAAATTTCAGAACTGTTTATTCCATTGGTTCTCAACCTTCCTAATGCCGCGGCCCTTTAATACAGTTCCTCATGTTGTGGTGACCCCCAACCATAAAATTGTTTTCATTGCTACTTCATAACTGTAATTTTGCTACTGTTATGAATCGTAATGTAAATATCTGATATGCAGGATGTATTTTCATTGTTACAAATTGAACATAATTAAAGCATAGTGATTAATCACAAAAACAATATGTAATTATATATGTGTTTTCCGATGGTCTTAGGCGACCCCTGTGAAAGGGTCTTTCGACCCCAAAGGGGTCGCGACCCACAGGTTGAGAACCGCTGGTTTATTCTATTTCTGTGAAAAATGCCATTGAAGTTTTGATAGGTATTGCATTGAATCTGTAGATTGTTTGGGATAGTATGGACATTATAAGAATATTAATTCTTTCAGTCCATGAGCACATATTATCTTTCCATTTATTTGTGTCTTCTTCAATTTCTTTAAACCATATCTTGCAGTTTTTAATGTACATATCTTTCACCTCCTTGGTTAAATTTATATCTAGGTATTTTATTCTTTTTGATGCAATTATAAATGGTATTTTTTTCTTAATTTTTCTTTCTGACAATCCATTGATTTGTGGATTTTAAACCATCTTTGTATTCCTGGAATAAAGTCCAGTTGATCATGGTGTATGATCCTTTTAATGTACTGTTGAATTCAGTTTGCTAATATTTTGTTGAGAATTTTTGCATCTCTGTTCATCAGGGATATTGGCCTGTGATATTTTTTTGTATTGTTCTTGTATGGTTTTAGTACGAGGGTAATGCTGGCCTTGTAAAATGAGTTTGGAAGTGTTCCCTCTTTTTTTTTTTGAAGAGTTTGAAAATGACTGGTATTCTCTTTTTAAGTTTTGGTCCTGGACTTTTCTTTGTTGTGAGGTTTTTTATTAATGAGTCAATTTCCTTACTCATAATTGGTCTGTTCAGATTTTCTATTTCTTCATGATTCAGTATTGTTTGGTTGTATGTTTCTAGGAATTTTTCCATTTCTTCTAGGTTATCAAATTTCTTGGCATATAACTTCATTGTAGTCTCTTATAATCCTTTGTATTTGTGTGGTATCAGATGTAACATCTACCTTTAATTTCTAATAGTATTTATTTCAGTCCTTTCTTTTTCTAGGAAAGTCTAGCTTAAGGTTTATTTTGTTAGTCTTTTTTAAAACCAACTCTTAGTTTTATCAGTCTTTCCAGTCTCTATTTCATTTATTTCAACTCTGATCTTTGTTATTTCCTTTCTCTTACTTCGGGCTTTTTTTTCTAGTTCTTAAAGATGTACAGTTATTGTTTATTTGAGCTCTTTCTTTTTTCTTAATGTAGGTGTTCATCACTATGAAATTCCTTCTTACTAGTAGAACTACTTTATATGCATCCCATTAATTTTGGAATGTTATATTTTCATTTTCAATTGTTTCAAGATATATTTTGACTTCTCTTTTGATGTTTTCTTTGACCCATTGGTTGTTCAGTCGCATATTACTTAATTTCCACATATTTATGAATTTTCCAGTTTTCTTCATTGTAGTCAGAAAATTGCTTGATATGATTTCAATCTTCTTAAATATATTAAGACTTGTTTTGTAGCCTCAGATATGATCTATCCTGAAATGTTCCATGTGTACTTGAGAATAATATATTTTTTTCTGTTGCTTTTGGCTGGAATGTTCTTTAAATATCTGTTAAGTGTATCTGGTATTACAGGTAGTTTAAGTCCAGTGTTTCCTTATTGATTTTCTATCTGTTGTTGAAAGTGGGGTATTGCAGTACCCTAGTACTATTGTATTGCTGTCTGTTTTTCTCTATAGGTCTGTTAATATTTGAAGAAGGATTTATTGACTAAATAGTTGTAGAAAATGAGATAATTAATCATGAACTACTTAGTGATTATTTTTGTGATTAAAAGATGACTCTAGAACAGGGGTGGGCAAATTTTTTGACTCGAGGGCCACAATGGGTTCTTAAACTGGACTGGAGGACCAGAACAAAAGCATGGATGGAGTGTTTGTGTGAACTAATATAAATTCAAAGTAAACATCATTACATAAAAGGGTACGGTCTTTTTTTTGTTGTTTTATTCATTTCAAACGGGCCGGACGCGACCTGCGGGCCGTAGTTTGCCCACAGCTGCTCTAGAATCAGACAGGCCTTATATTTAATTCCAGCTGTATTTACCTTAAGCAACTTAAACTATAAGCATTAGAGACTCACCTGTGAAATGGAAATAGTAACTCTTTGCAGAGTTTCCGAGGTAATCAGAAATGTTAGGTGAAGCACCTAATGCAGATATGTTTTATTCCAGAGCATGAGCTCTAAACTAGTAAACTCTATTCTCTCTTGCAGTAATTGTCTTAATAGTTAACACAAATTTTTAAGCTTACACTGATCTCTATTTCTTCTTCCCCCCCCCCCCCCCCCCCCAGCAATGTGGAGTGGCCTCTTCACTCACTTAACGGAATCTTGGAATAACTTTAAGGGGCTAGATCCAAATTATACAACATGGATGGATATCATGGAGAAGCATGGGTACCAAACACAAAAATTTGGAAAACTGGATTATACTTCAGGACATCATTCCATTAGGTAAAAAATAAAACAAAAAATAGTCCTCATAGGCTTTTCTCTGCTAGAACACAAAAATGTACCCTTTTTGACTTTTTAAAAATTTCTCTAATAAGGTAAAATTAAATCTCTTAACCCCTCAATTGTGTTAATTGGTTAAAACATTAACTTTCTTTAATCTTCCTAAAATATTAAATTTGCTAATATGCTGATAATTTTTTCTTAAATATTAAAGGTCATTAAGATATATATTAATCTGTTTAGCCCATGATTTATTTTTACTGAAATTTTGTTATATAATGGCTACTTTATTAATTACTTTACAGTTTTCTTGCTACTTGTTTTTGTGAGTTCATTCTAATGTGAGTCTATTGTAACTTCGTTTTTTTTTTCTTTTTTCATTTTACTAAGTTCTCAAAACCAGGTAGTCAAGCCTGGTTGATAATAGTAGAGATCTAGAAACAGATTAACTACTTTTGAATTCTAGTTTCTCTGTCTACTACTAACCTGTGGTAGTATAATCTTGGAAACATTGTCTAAGCTCAGGAACTTTAATTTCTTTGTTGTAAGGATAAGATGAAATAATATATGCAGAAAAGAGCTAACACAGTAGGTCCGAAACTTGTAGCCTTAGAAAGACCTGCTTTCAAAGTTGGCCTTTGGCTGACATCTGGAAACTTGAATTTCAGGAGTGTTCTACATTCCCTAACTGATCAAATGAATCACTGTGTACCTAGAGTGTTTGTACAATGTGGTTCATTCTGAACACCTGATTTCGCTGTGGGAGTCTGCAGTTTTGGTATGTTCTCGGCAGAGGGTGTCTACATAATGAGCCCACAATGACAACTTGGGTATTAAGTCTCTAATGAGCTTACCAATAGACAACACTTTACACATATTTTCGTAGACAGATGCTGGATGAATTAAGTGTGTCCTTTGTGACTCCACTTGGCAACTTGTACCTTGTTTCCTGTGGAATTACCCTAAGCATATTTTCCCTTTGCTGCTATTGCATTGTGTCCTTTTGCTGTAATAAGTCATAAGTGAGTAAAACTCTTTGTTGGCCCCATGAGTCCTCCTAGTGAACTTAGGTGTGATCTTGGGGTCTCCTAACACTTGTGACTCCTGACACAAATTTATATTAAGACCTCAGAGCAATACCTCGTGCCTAGCAGGTGCTAGTTAAGGGCTATGGTAAATATAGTAGTGATGAGGATGATGCTAATGATTACAATAAGAGCCAGAGAAATATATTCAATAAAAGTAATGGTGCATGTAGTGAGATAAATAGTGTTCCCCAAAAATTCACATCCACCTGAAGTTTCAGAATGTGACCTTATGTGGAAACAGATCCAGTTTGTAGATTCAATTGGAGGTGAAATCATCCTGGATTTAGAGTGAATCCTAGTCCTATCAGAAGAGGAAAGGACACATACACACAGAGAAGACGGTGTGGAGACAAGAGACGCATTTGGAAGTGATCGCATCTAAAGTCAAAGAATGCTAAAAGATCACAAGCCAAAGAATGCTAAAGATTGCCAAGAGTTACCAGGGGCTAGGAAGAAGCAAGGGGATATTCTTCCCTAGAACCTACAAGCTACGGTTCTCAACAGGTGTGCTGCGGCACACTGGTATGCCGCAAGAATTTTTAAAACATGCAATACTTGACTACTTACTCATGGGCACTGGCCTGTTATCCCTTAGATTATCAAATTTTAAGAAATGACAACAGCCAACCCAACAATAGCCATCTGGTGTGAATGAATCAAAAGTGTACCTACTTTTTGTCAGATGGACAAATAATATATTTTTTGGTGTGCTGCAGAATTTCTAGCCTCCAGAACTGGGAGGGAATAAATTTCTGTTGTCTTAATCTATGCCGTTTGTAGTAGTTTGTTAGAGCAGCCCAAGGAAACTAATACAATGACTTTTGGGTAAACAGATACTAAAATAATCTAGAAGGACTGAGTAGAGCAGGTCTTCCAATAATGTCCTTTTGTTAAACCCCTCATTTCATCATGATGTTGATGAGATGCCATAGGAACATAATGCTTTTTTGTATCAATTGGCCAGTGGTAAAGCTGGTTTTGTTTTATGTCATTTCACTAAAGTCACAGAAACCATCAATGATGTTAAGGGAGGACTTAACTGTATTAATCTTGCTCTCTGGTTAATGTTAAATTTCTTTCCTTCTCTGTCTCCCGAAATCTAAAAGATATCAAGACTGGAATCCCAGAAGTAATCCTGATTCTTTTTCCCCACCACTGTCTTCTAATCCATCACCAAATATTGTCAGCTCTACTTCTTAAATATTTCTCCAGTTTATTCACTTCTCATTATCTCCACCAAGTACTATCATCTCTTGCCTAAACTATTGAAATGGCCTCCCAACTTTTCTTCTGACTAATTTTCTATAGGCAGTCAGAGTGATCTTTTTAAAATATACATTTGATCGAATGACTTGCCTGCTTAAAATTTTTCAGTGGTTTTTATCTCGGCAGGTAGGCTAAAATCCCAAATCCACAACATTGTTTATAAGACCCTACAATAACCTAGCCCCTGCCTACCTCCAGTCTCATTTAGAACCACTCACTTTCTCCCACAGTGTGTATTTGGTCTTCCTTTAATCCTTTAAAATTTGTTTTACTACCTCTGGACAGTTGACTGGCTAGTTCTGCCGAGCAAAACGTTCTTCCCCTCCTCTGCCTGGCTAGCACAGCAGAAAGAAAGGGTGGGAAGGGAGGTAAGTGTGGTGGGAGGAGCATAGGCTTTGAATCTGTCAGAACTGTTAGATGCCCAGCTGCCTGCCTATCATCCTTGTGACCTTAAGTTACTTGACTTCTCTAAGTGTTGGTTTTCTTATCTGTAACTGGAACTAATAATACCCACCTCATTGGATAACTGCCATTTTAAAATGAGTTAATAAGATTATATTTAAAAATTAAATGAGATAATACAAAACAGTTCCTGGCACAAAGTAAGCACTTAATTAAGGTAAAATAGTGTTGTTGTTGTTGTTGTTATTATTAAAATGGCTTAACCAGAATTGTAGTTTAATACTTACATAACTTTTCCTTTTTCTAAAGTTCATTACATTGCTGTTATTTTATTGTTTCACAAATTTCTCTTTAAAATCCTCCTTTTTATAAAATAAGGCTAATCCAAAGTAAAATACAACTATTCATTTTATCTTGTTTGAAATTCTTCCTCTTTGTTCCTTCAATCAATCCAATAATAAAAAGAATCTGGACTTGAACTCCCTGTTATCATAATTCTGTGTGAAATGGTTAAAATATGATCTGAATGTTATTCTTCTTGTGATAATAATGCTTGGAGGGGGCAAGGACCCTCCTTTTTCATTGCTTTATTCCCATCGCCAGTAGTGCTAGTGCATTATAGGCATACAATTAAATGTTTGTTGAATGAGTAAATGGAATAAAAAGTTACATTGTCTACCTATGGCTTAATACTTGATAAGCATTGATGTTCTATTTAACCCAGGGTCATAGCACCCGTCCATTATTAGTGTTTTGTATATATCTTCAACTAATAGAATATATCCTGTTTTTCAGTTCTTTAATATTTTAAGTATCCTTAATTTTCTTAAGGTCTTTCTCATGTGAAATTCTAAAATTAGAAAAAGGAAAAGTTGGTATTTCAGAGGTCAGAGATGGTTTTTAGAATAATAATTGGTTGCAGCATATTTTCACTGTGCTCCTCTCCCACCAGAGCTTAGGAAATTGAAATAAATAATCAGGACTCTACTTATATGGGTACTGTATGTACCCACACAGTCATATGGCCGACAAGTAGATCAAGGTTTCTGTTAATATATTTATTGAACCACCTACTATGTACCAGACACTATTTTTAGATGATGGGAATATAGAAGTAATCAAAACACAAAAATCTCCAACCTCATGGAACTTACATTCTTGTGGCATTAGAAGAGAATTTAAACAAGCTACTGTCTTATCATTCCTAGCTAAAAGTTTAAAACCTAGAATCCAATTCTTTTTTATTTCATCTTACCATCATTGTAATTATATATGTTCTCAATTCATATAGTTTATGTTTTCCTCACACAAATTCACAAGAGGCAATTTTAATCCCCTCAAACAAATGAAAAAATAAAAGACCTACTTCCAAAGTGAGAGGATTGCTTTGGAAAAACTCTTAAGCGAGAGCTTCTAGCAAAAGGAATCAAATCATAGGCTGCTAACAACACTCTTTCTATCCCTGTCAGGCCAGCAGACCAACAGGATCACAGGCTTTGTAAATAAAACTGGAGAGACCAAGAGGAGAGGGAGAGAAGTCAAGAACAACAACCACAGGGCCCTCTCTCAGTCCCTCAGAACTCTGCAGGCTAGTGAATAAGTCTGTGTTTACCTCACCATATCCACTATCCTATCTAATAAAAGAGAAACATGGTAATTAGCCGTACCTCTGCTACCCTTCCCATTGGCTAATCAGGGTGATATGCAAATTAACTGCCAGCCAAGATGGCGGCCGGCAGCCAGGCAGCTTGAAG